GATAGAGCTTGGTCTTCCAATGCCTCGAAGGGAGAGGCGGGGCCTCAGGCAGCCAGCTATGCACTCTGCCATCTGTTACCTTTCAACTCCTGGGGTTCTTGGAGTTACTTAGGGACCTTGGTAATAGGCAGATCTCCTGAATGGGTCCCTTAATAGCCACAGTCTCAACCCAAGCCTCTGCTCATGAGCTGTCTGGGCTTCTGGCATGGCAGCCACAGCTGGTTGTTTTTCCTAACAGTCCCTGGGAAACAAGCAAGAGAATCTACCACATCTCTGTCCTTTCCCCCGCCACACTACAGTTAAAATTGGCATCATCAGTATAATAATAGCAGGATGGCAGAGGGAGGAAAGTTAAAGACTGAAACTTTCTGAGAAGTTGTCATTTGCTCTAATCACTCTTGCTTTTGAAAGCTTACTTATGCAGTCATAAGGACTAGATATTTGATTGGCATAATTTACTTTGAAAACTCTTGTAAAATATTCAGCTTTGATTTTTTGTTGCAGGCCATAGAACGAGAAAAGCCTGAGAAGCACAGAAAGCTCCAAGATGCCAGTAGATCTGCAGAAGCCCTGGTGGAACAGATGGTGAATGGTAATTACATGGCGGTTTGATTTAGGAAATATTCTTAGGGATTTGATGAACATACAAGTTCATATTTATCACATGATTTATATGAGGAAAACACTTTCTGAATGGAAGAGTAAACTGGGTTTGTATTTTTATGTGCTTCTTCTGAATCTTAATTAGAACAGTAGAAACACTTGAAATTTAGCCTCATAAACTAAAACATGGCTAAAAACACAGTGTTCCCAGGAGGGCCCAAACTATTAACAACTGCTCTCAATCCACAAATATTCCTTTGGTGCACAGTTTGATTTACTCATCTGAAAATTTAGATATGTTGGGATGGAACTTTTCCCCTAAAACTTGAAAAAAAATTATATGAGATAGTTTATTATTTATTTCCATATACATCCACTTAACCACTTGATTCTCATCTTTCCCTTTCCTTGACTTTCTCTACCCCATTGTGTGCAATTTTTTTCTTATTTCCCTTTGAGTGTTTCCATCACTTCTTCCTTCTTTTCATTTCGTTTTATACCTTTTTCTCCTGTCTTCTTGTCACCTGTATCTTTTTAAAACTCGGCCATCTATCTCTGTGTGTTTTCCTTAGCCACAGTTTACCATTTGAAATCTCACCCCCCCCAATGGCACAACAGCATCACCACTCCATGAATTATTGTCTTTTAGAAGCATTTAATGACTTTGTCATATGATTTGGTTACTCTTCCCATGGCTGAGTTCCAACTGGCAGTTTGAAGTGGGAGGGAGTCATGGCAAAAAAGACCTGGATCAAATTGTTCCGGGTTTTCCTGGTCACACTACACCAACTGATGCGGAAGCATACTGGGGAGGAGGCACAAGGGAGGCAGCTGTAAGCAGCTTTTTCTGGTAATTCGGTTATGTGCGCATAAGCGCTCATGTGCATAAGCGCATCCCTACTGGATCACGGCTTTTCGCGTTCACACTTCCGGGAAGCAGGGTGGACACGGGATAATCACGCTTTCCAGGGTTTGATACCACTTTCACCTGGTATCTTTTAAACTCTGGAAGGAAGCATTACAAGACGGGTTGAGTACGGCTGGGGAACGCCTGACACATGTGCCTGTGTGAACAGCCCCTTTAATCCCTTTGTGAAACATTTCTGGCTCGTGCCTATATCGGGGCAAACTACCAGTCTGAACTCGGCCCATATCTGATTCTTGTGTTTTATATCTCTTCCTTATTTATAGGCATATCTTTTCCTTTTGCAAAATTCCTAGGGATGGATCCAGCCAGTTTTTCACCTAGTCTCACCTAATTCTCCTCCCTTCTACAGCCACCATCCCACGTAGGGTTGCCAGCCTAGGGGCTCCAATCTGCCCCTGGCCAGCTGGCTGGCAGGGGAAGCCCCACCCCAGGCCCCACCCCCAAGCTGCAGCCACCTGCAGCCACCACTCTCCCTCCCTGATAAAAAATTTAAAGGGCTTTAGCTGATCAGTGGGGAGTATGTGGCCCACCCACCAGCTGGAGGACCATTTAAATCTTTTAGCAGAGAGGGAGAGGAGCTGTTGCCAGCCATAGCTCCACTGGCAAAAAGACCCTTTAAAGAGGGGTGGGGGCCATGGTCCACGCAGTGTTCATTTCCCAGTGGGATGGCAGCACAGGCCTGAATCCCAAGCAGTGAATTGCCATTGGGAAATGAGCCCCACATGTGCCACGGCCCCCACCCCACTGTGGGTATACTGTGTCCCAGTAGAGCTGTGGCTGGTGGCAGCACCTCTCCCTCCCTGCTGAAAGATTTAAAGGGCCCTCCAGCTGGGTGGCAGGCCATATGCTCCCCACCAATCAGCTGAAGTCCTTTAAATCTTTTAGCAGGGAAGGAGAATGGTGGCCATGGCTTGAAGGCGGGGCTTGGGCCACCCATGAAATGCCCCCCAAATCCCCCCACTGGATTGACATGGGGACCTGGCAACCCTAATCCCACATGAATTTTCAACATTCAGGTCCATGATTCTCAGTATAGTTATTTTGGTGGCCAAAAGGAGGCCCCTCCTTCCTTTTCCACTGGCAGAAAAGCTGGTTGGACTCAACATCTAGTCTTTTTAAGGAATTAGGTCAATTCTTATTGTGTAGTAATGCCTATGAAACTGCCTTATACTGAGTCAAGCCGTTGGTCTATCTAGGTCAGGATTGTCTGTTCCAATGGGCGGTAGCTCCCCAGGGTTTCAGGTACAGGTACCGCCTGCTATGTGACTCTTTTAACTGGAGAAGCCAAGGACTTAACATGGGCCTTATGCATTCATTCTGTCTCATATTTATCATTGCTTTTGTTATTTTATTTATTTATTTATTAGTTTGATTTTTACCCCGCCCTTCCTGCCGTGGCAGGCTCAGAGCGGCTTACAGAATAATAATAAATAAAACAACAGTATAAATATCAATATAAAAATACACAACGTAATTATTAAAACCATTAACATAGCGATGGCAGTACAAAGTGCATATGAGAACATACATTCACCCGTAGGATCCACGATTGGTGGGACCAGGCTGGAAATGGAATTGGCATTATCTGTAATGACAAACAGGAATGAGCATCTAATTGTTGCTTCAGTTTCCTTTTTAAAAGTCCTGAAATTCAAATGCTCAGTTTTGGGGCCATGCCTGTTGCTTTGGAATCACTTAGCCGAAAGCAGCCTCACTGAAGAAGTCAATTGAAGGTATACATGAGTATTGTCATCCTTTCCAAATAGAAATTTGTGCAGAAGAATGTGGAGATCTGAGTGGATGATTGATAATCATGGCAGTTCAAAACAAAGTGCTTCTTGTACTAAAACAAGTGCTCATTGTTGGGAGGTATCAAAATGGATACAAAATGAATTTGTAATGATACAACATATAATGAGAAGGAAATCTAGTATCATGATTTATTCTGAGTGGCCATTCTGAATATCCTTATAAGTCAACAGCTAAACCATATTGTCCTACATTGAAGCCATAGCTAGTGATAAATATGTTTGACAAAATATGCTTTCTGTTAAGTGGCAGTTTTAAAGACTTTGCATACAAGAAGCTGAACAATTAAAGTTGTTTTAACACAATTTGTTATGCACAGTACACAGTGCAATAAAATTAATGAAGGTACTTCAGGTACTGATCTCTATGTCCTTTGGGCATAATGTATTTATTCACTGTCAATATCAGGGGTTGTTCTGAATATAAAATATGAAACAATTTATGAGCCATTAACCTTGAAATTACAATATATTACCACAGAATGGGCACTGTATTATTCATTATGTGTAGTGTTGATGGCAAGATTTATGCACTTGTTTAACACAAGTGGCAGTACTTTTCCCAATCATATATGCAGGAATTAGTAATACTGAGTTCAAAGCAAGGTGCAACTTCCTGACATATATAACATGCAGCAAACTATGAAATCAGGCCATTATGCTGGCTGAAATAAATGTAAATTAAATGTTTACATGCACTGGTATTTAAAGAGTTACATGCATTATGTTTAACATACTTTTTTGTAAGAATATTATTTTGGAGAGAGATTTTCTGCAGTATGTAACATAAGCACATATGAAACTGCCTTATATTGCCCAATTTCATTCTGGTTTCAGTCCTGGTTTTGGGGTAAAAATGGTCTTGGTTACTACTGAAGATTATCTCTGGTTACAGTTAGACCTACCACAGCCTTTGACAAGTGCATCATGCCATCTCTCCCTTATATAAAAGAGTAGTCGGTGCCAAAATTCTAAAATGCGCCCCGTTAGTGTATGGGCGGAAAAAATGCCACTCAGAAGACGCTGCCTGTGATGACTGGCTCCCTCAGCGAACCTGCCCTGCCATTGGCTGGGTGGCTGGGAGGGGAGGGAGCCAGTCATCGCAGCAAGCTTCTTCTGAGCGGCCATCTTCCGGACATACAGTAAGGGCCGCTTTCAGCCCAGCGGCGAACGGAGCCGATAGGCTCCGTCCGCCGGCTCCCCCCCCCAGGCCCCATCCTGGCCGGC